TTTCCCTATTTTTCGTTGCTGCTGTTTGCTCTGGCTTTTTACCCCTTTTCACCATTTTATCTCCACTGCGTCCTCCTTTCCCTATCATTTCTCCCCTTCGTCCTTTGCCGCCCACATTTCCTCTCCCCTTTTTCGGCCATCCTCCGCCCCCCACGTCCTTCTCCCCCCCTCGCCGCCCCGCTCTCCCAGCTGCCCCCGTTTCCTTCTACGGGCTTCATGGGTCTAAGCAGGAACAATTTGAGGGCGATTGTTTCCCAGGAGCTGTAGGGAGGGCAGACGAGGATTCGTTGGCTTTCTTCTTCCTTTTCTTTTTGTGGAGAGGAAGGGGGGAGATTGGAGGTATTGGAGAGAGCCTCGAAGCGTTATTACCTAGTGTCATTGTAAATCTGACTGATAGTGTGTTTTAGAGTGATGGAGTGAGGCCGGCATGCATACTGTGACTTTATAAGATATTTAGTCTTTTGACAGAAATAATTAAAAATGTTTTGGAATGTATTTTGAGCATTTTTGAAATGTAGAAGTACAGTTTTGGAAATTTAAAAATATTCACTTACAGGCTTGACTATTATTACTCAGAACGAATGGTTTGTTTTTGTTGAGAGGCAGAGACCAGGGCTTCTGAAGACTGAATCAGCTTGGCAGTCTGATTGTGACAGTTCACTTCAGTACCTTATAATACTTTCATTTGTTTTGCCCTCTCTTTCTTGAGTTGGAAGACGCTTATATTTGCAAGTTGCCTCTTTCCTGTTTCAAAATAGGTTGAGGCTTCAGTTGGTTTTTCATTGAGTTGGGTCACACATAGTTTGCAGTATATTTAATGAACACATTTCTCCATCATATACAGCAGTTTAAATTTTGGTCTCTGAGAGAAAGAAGACATTCTAATCAAATCTAAGTCCTGGTAATCAATCATGTTGTCCTGTCCTGGAGGTTAGTTAATTTTTATTTTTCCCCCCATCTGTTTTTTCGGAAAGTTGTTTGTAACAAAATACTTTAATCTTTGAACTTTCCCTAACTCACTGACTCTGCAGTTTGGGGTTGCCATTCTCCTGTGTCTGCCTCCCCAACAACCCTTCACATTTGCAGTCCATCACATTATCATTGTATATTAACCTGTTTCTCCCCCTGAGATGTGACTTCTAGGCAGCAACTATGCCGTACTCATGCCTGTTATTCCTAGTGCCTAGGCCAACTAGGTAATTGAATGATTCACTTTATGGTCTCATTTTCCTATCTGACAAGTATAATCTTAAACTGAAATTTGAGGCAACTAGTGAACTACTTAGAAAGACTGAGTTTGAGAATCTTATTTTTGGTGCAAAAGGGAAATTTAGTAAGATATGATGATTTTCTCTTTAGAATAAAGGGCTGTCCTAGGTAAGACATCAAATGGCTATATTTTTGGAAGTGTTGGCCCTCCCATTGAAAATGAATGTATGAGTACGGAGGGAGATGTTATGAACCCCTTTTTGGGTATTTAGGATTCAAAAGTCTCATTTGAGCCGGGCCTGAGAGATGAACAAGATTTATGTAGATCATTTTGGGAAAGGGAATAATGCTTTGTTGTGAATGTGAGTAGAAAGTAATTGTATTGTAGGTAGTAGGATTACCTTTATATATCATGGTGGGAGGGATGCAGGAATGAGCATGTGTAGTAGGAAATGAGACTGGAAAGATGTATTAGACATGATTATGGTTTAGACTTTGCCTCTAACTAACTTGATTTTTCCTTGTTAAATCACACATACATACGGTAGTTAGAGTATATGTGAGAGAAGTGGAGTCAAAATATTAGCTTATTATGCGCTGAAAATTATCTGTAGAGGTTAATTTTTAAAAATTTCCTTATGCAATTGTGTAGTAGGCACTCAGTAAATAGAGTTGAACATTATTGTAAAGCTTTTTGTATTTTATATTTTCCAATTTTTCTGTTATTTAGTGTTTTGAATGTAGTCATGTGCCACTCAGTGATGGGGACATATTCTGAAAAGTGCATCATGAGGTGATTTTGTTGTTGTTCGAACATCACAGAGTACACTTACACAAACTTAGTGGTATAGCCTAGTACATGCCTAGGCAATATAGTATACAACTGTTGTATATGTGGTCATTGACTGAAATGTTGTTATGCAGTGTAAGACTATAGCTAAGATGCCTACCTGGAGGGATTATAGGCCACCACTTCCAGAGTTTGATTTATTAGGTCTGGAGTAGGGCCTGAGACTTTGTATTTCTATCAAGTAACCCATGTTGTGCTGATGTTTCCCGTGTGTGAACAACAATTGGAGAACCACTGGTCTGAGATATAGTCCATACTTTTTATTCATCTAACAATTTTTTTTGAGTGCCATTGACTGTGTTGGCATTGGGATATTACAAATAATAAAACAGATGTGGTCCCTGCGTTTTTATATCTTATGTATATAAAGACATCAAACAAAAAAGAGTAATTTTAAATGTGAAAAGTACTAAGAAAGGAAAAGTTGTGGGCTCATGGTATGGGATAGTCAGGGATGGCTTCCTAGAGGATCTTACTTTCAAGAAGAAAACTGAAGGATTAAATTATAGGAGTTATGTTGTGGAAAACCAAATAGAAGGAATAGCACATGTGAGTGACTGGCGGTGGTACTCTGTTGTGCCTGTTTACCTGTGCATATCCTGGATATTCAGCTCAAGGAAACTTCATCTGCCCTGCCTACGCCTTAAAAAACCCTAGTCACACAACCTCTGTTATATAATCCTCTTTCGTAAAATATATATATCAATTGTAATTTTATATTTCTTGCTGTGATTCTTTGGTTAATATCTGCCTTCAATCTCAGACTGTAAAAATCATTTGACCAGCTGCTAAAGGCCATGTGATATTCTGGGCACTGGGGTTAGTTACAGTTATTTATTGAATGTGACTGTATAGGCCCTGTTTTAAGTGATTTACATATTTTATCTCATTTAATCTTCATAGCAACCCAGTAAGATAAGTACTAGCTCTATGAAGGTAGATACCATGTTTATTTGGCTCATCATTGACTCTTTAACACCTACATAGTACCTGGTGCATAAGTACTCAGTTAATATTTGTTGAATGAATGAATGACTTTGAGGATGATCAGAAAGTCAGGGAGGCTTGGTTGAGAAGGGGACATTTGAGCTGGGGGTTTTAACAAGTGGGGTTTTATTGGGTAAGAGTTTGGGAAGGAAAGCCATTTTTGGCTAAGGGACCAGCTTCAGCATAGAAGCTGAGACAGAAGTAGCCATGATGTATTCTGGGAAATGTATGACTCTAGCATTGAGGGTGCAGTAAGAGATGAGACTAGGTGAGCCTAAGGTCATATCATGGAGGACCCTGAATCATAGGCTCAGGAGTTTTGGCCTCACTGAAAAGACCCTTGGTACCTTGAAAGGTGTGTGTGTGTGTGTGTGTGTGTGTGTGTGTGTTTGTGTGTGTGTGTGAATTTTATTCTCATAATTCAGAGATTTGGAGGATGGTCACTTTAAATCAATATGAAACATAGTTTGGAGTGGGAAGAGCTGTTATACTAGTCAGGGTGAAAAGTATGTGAACTTTTCTCCTTAACCTTGATGTGGTGGTGATGTAAATTGGAGGAGGGAGAACAGAGAGAAAAGAAATATGAAGATACGGCACACCACTTTTTGGCTAAGTGAATTATCCATAGAGACATTACTGCGGAGTTGTGGAATAAGCACAGAATCAATAAACAGCTTTGCAGTTTTGCTCACTGCCTTTAGAGATTTGTGAGACTATTAAAACAAAGTAAATTTACTATACTAGAATCCTTTATAAACAGTAGTTCTCCCAAAAGTATCAGGTCATGTAGAGAGAGTCAGTTCTTTCCAACCTCATTTAATTTTTAAAAAGATTTTTGTTTGGTATGAGAAAAGAGTGATTTTAAGTAAATATATATTTTATTTTTAAATTATATATATAATTTATTTAATAATACATTGAACAAAATACATTAAAACAAATTTCAGCCTTTTTCTATTTAACAAATGACACATTAACATGAGATAAATCTTTATTTGTCATTTGTTAAAATGAATATATCTTACGATGTAGATTGAAATTAATTATGTTTATGGCATCAAAATAGATAATAACCGACTTTTTAATCTTAAATTTAGAATTCTTGCACTTTTGTACTTAAAAATCCACAGGTTTTTAAAATTGTTCTGTTTCTAAATGACAAAATAGAATGGCTCCAGGCTGCTACTTGGAAGCTTGTTTCCACAAATAAAACACTGGAAGTATGAATAGTTATTTCTGATAAAGAAAAATACAAGTTGGATATAATACCACATTTCTTTTTTTTTTTTTAATGCTTAAAGAATACTGATACCTTGATGTAGTACCATTTAAGAATCCTGATCAGATAAATGCATTCATTTACTTTAATTTCATCATCAGTGTAACTTCGTTTTCTTTAACCATAGTTCAGTATAAGAATAAAAGTAATTTTAAACTGTGATGTTCCATGTTCGGACGAAGTTATAACAATGGAGTGACTATAATATCAAGAGCCAGTCTCCTAATTTCCACTAATTCACATATATGCAGTAGATAAAATTTTGGATACTCTCAACCTATTCCGTTTTTAAAGGAGAAAAATTTAATTATTCTATTATATGGTC